TTTGTTTGATTGGATCGAATCATAAACGTATCCGCTCGAAGTGGACTTCAGGCAATTTTCTTATCAAAAATGCCAATTCTTAAAGCGTCCAACTCTAACCGGAGTTTACCTTCATTAAGTGTAAGCATGTTGTCCTCCAAACAAGTGGAAAGAAACAGAGTAAGCGGCGCTTTCCAAGTTCACGGGTTTTAATTACCTAACCACACTAATTTGCTTGGTTTTTCAGGTGGCTCGCTATTCATCTCGAGTTTGTTGGTATCTTGATCATATTTTTTGCCGCTTTGTTTTCCGTCGTTAACCGCGATTCTCTAGAGAGTGGACTTGTTGGTTTGTCCATCACTTACGCTCTTCAGGTGTGTTGGCTAGCCATCAGTACACAGTTGTGGGGTATTGTAAAATTCATATCACCGTACATTTAAAAAGGAGCTACGTCACAGTTTCTGCATTTTGAAAAGTTAAGCCTAAATTTGTTTTAAGCTTGTCGTTTGTAATCCGTGCTAACCTTCTCCATCCTTAACCAACCTTGTTCCTTTTTGCTTTGTTATTATCTCTTTAGTGTTTTTCTATCATAGTAAACTACTAGTAAATATGTTTCCTTCAATTTAAAGGTAATTTTGTACTTGGCCAAAATAACTTAAAATGCTTTGGCTGAGCTCCTTTAAACATACTTGTTTGTCTGTTTGTTTTTATCACCAAGGTAACCGCAACTCTTAACTGGATGGTACGGATGAGCAGTGAACTGGAGACAAACATCGTATCCGTGGAGCGAGTGAAGGAATATTCAGAAACACCTACAGAGGTTTTGATGGATTGTTAAATTTTAAGATGTTGACTTTAATACGCTCGAGCTTTTGATGCTATAAACTGACAGTTAGCGAGGCTATGAACAAGTGAGAGCCATTTAGTGATCAGCCTGGTCGAACCATGGCGAGGACGAACTAGCCTGATAGGTCGCGTATTAAAAAAATACGATTAGTCATTTACCGATCCAAATTCTGCTAAAACATTCCTGCCCTATCAGAT